CACTTTCCAAATTTTTGAGGCCCCCCAAACACGCTGTAGTCTATAGCATGCTTGGCCATCAACTATGAAAAACAAAAAGAAATTGTAAGCATGCCTTATAAACCACGGACGGTTGCCTCATGTCAAATTTGTAAGCATGCCGTGTGAAGAGATAAACAAAAACTAACCTGTAGTTTTCCATATGTGGTATCAGTTGCCCTGTCTGCGGCAAGCACAGCCTTGACAGCGTTGATGGTCCACGCAGAAATAGCAAACTTGTGTGTAGGCGGCGGGCCTCCTACCCCAGAGAAATCCACGATGGACAGATCAAGACAGTCGACATACATGAGCTGATTTAAAACAATTTTACAAAGAAAGAAATGTCAGTTGCCATCATGGGTACTTTGTAGTTGGGAAAAAGAGCAGGATATATAATGTATGATCCAATGATAGTATGTATGTGCTAGTTGCCATCATAGTGTGCTGGCAGTTGCCATCATACTGTGATAGCAGTTGCCATGCTAATATGATGGCAGTTGCCATATTGTCAGTATGACAGTTGCCATATTGTCATTATGGCAGTTGCCACATTGTCATTATGGCAGTTGCCATCTTGTTATGATCGGGTTGCCATGCATGAATAAAACTGTGTTATAAACAAGAGTTCACACAGAGATCTGGTAAAATAAATACCACTAAATGCAGTCGACAACCCTTCTGGTACATCTTGTTTTTGAAAGCATCATGGAGAAAGTCGGCAATAAACTTACACCAGTTCACGTTCTTCACATTTTTCAGATTCGCCTGCACCACACAAAATTTCAGGGCAAAAAGTTTGCCGCATCAGAAATCAAACGAAAAAAAATAACGAAAACACTGGCAGTCATTAGCTTAACACGTGACATCGGAGCCAGAAGATTGAAGGAAAATAAAGTAGAAGGGATGGATCATTCACCAGGATGGGGAAACATTTGTTTCTTGGGCGAAGGGAAGTGGTCGGCGCGAAAACAGCTGAGATGAGGTACATGAGTAGCTTCATCTTGAAAACATCTCCGTGCGTCGTCATGGCCTGCAGCGAATCTGCCAGTACAGACGTGTTCGGCATGGACTCCAATCCAGGAAACAAACGGGCGAACAACGCTTCCTCGATCTCATTATTGACCTCGTACGGGACTTTGATATGTCCACGAGGCACACCCAAAGTGCAGAACACGGATTCCTCGTTCAACGGAAGTCTTCCGCGTCCCGGAATCACGAATTCCCTGGAGGCAGGCTCGTAGATCTCACCAAGCCAGTCGCATACAGGGTTGACAAGGTTCATGCACCGGACATCCATCAGAGCCTGCATACCCATCTCAGCAGCAGCCCCCTTTTGATCGTCGGTGAATTTTTCAATCAACACAATCAGACGTTCCTGGGAGGCTCTGTTGCGAACACGTTTCTTCTTCTGCAAAAAACAGACACAAAAGTGATCAGCTGTTGCCATGTTTTGCAATGTCATGAAAATTTAGTTCATGACAGACGACTACAAAAGATATAGGTGCCAACCAATAACAAAAATCGAGAGGAGATGGGGCGGGTGTGTGGACAGTTACCTCGTCGCCCTCTTTTCTCCGTCCAGTTGCCCGGTTACGCTGTGGTGGATCCATGAAATCATCGTCATCATTTTGATGATCGCCACGAGCCATTCTGCTGATGTAGGAACAGACCAAATTGTTAAGGGGGAAAATGTAAATGCAAGAGGTAAGCATTTGCCACCTAACAAAAAATGTCAACTAGTGAATGCAAAAATATAGCATGAACATGCACGCGGCCCCCCCTCCCCCCTATGATTGTCGAGAACATAAACATGGCAAGTAAGCACGTTGGTTAATGCACTTGAAAACAAAATATTGAAGTTGCCATGTTAGCCCAATATAGTACAAAAAAGAAATGAAACCACATCTGAATCGATAACCTGAAAACAGGCACAGTGTGTTCAGATATCACAAAAGTCATTGTGGCACAACGAAAAAATTGCGTCCGTAGTACAATGAAAATGCCACATTGTACTGACTGTAACATGGCAACAGACATGATGTGGCAACAGACATGATATGGCATCTGGCACAATTGGTACGCAAATGTGGTTGCCATATTATGCAGCCAATTTGCCACACTGTCATATATGCATTGTGGCAACAGACATTGTGTTCACATTCTATTTGCCACATGATTATACAATCCAAGTGGCAAACACGCACACTCGATGTGCACATTAGTTGCCGTCCAGTGCAGCTGGATGCCGAAACTGCATTGACTACCGATTGTGGCAACTATCAAAGTGTGGAAACTATAACAAATAATTCAGAAAAAATTAGATATCACAATGAAAAAGCATGTTTATGGTTACTATCATATAAATTCAGCAAAATTCAGTTTGCCACATGGAAGAGCGTGGGTGTGGCAACTATCATAGTCATTAAATAAAATTAGTTGCCATATATGAAAGCTTGAATGTGGCAACTATGACAGACATTTTCAGTATTTTGTTGCCGCAAAGGAAAACACATTTGTGGCAACTATCACATTTGTTCACGGAGTTTAGTTGCCACACATTTGTTCACGTTCAGTCATTCTGCCAAGTTCGCCTCGTTCTACAGTTTCAAAACCAAACTAACTAGATCTAGGTTTCAGTGGCAACTACTTCGACTTCAAAATCACCCTCAAAATTCTCGCACGAACTGACTGCAAACACAAATTCGAACCAATGCGCATCAAAACAAACCGGGGGACACCTCCCAAATCCATGTGCAAGACTAGTGCGTGCCTCCGAACAGGCATAACCGCACCGACGATGCCGCCGCGGCGGCGGCGACGAAACTGCCCGGTGCCACCAAAAAACGGCTAGCAGACAACTTCGGCGCCGGCGGGAATGCCGACGCACCGCCGAAACGCCAGAATCTCTAAGAATCGATCTAGGAATCGAACAGGGAGGGAAAGGGAAAAAATGCAGGAAGTGGTTGCGAGAGATGAAGCGAGCATTACCTTCAACCCGCACGGGTTCCGGCGAAGCCGCTCCGCTCCGGCGAGCACCACCGACGGCCGCGAACACCGTCGATTGTTCCGCCTCCGCCGTCGCCTTCTCCTCTCGCCTTCTCCTCCAGGGGTTTCAAGTGCGAGTGGGTTGTGCCAGTAAATGCGTCGCGGGTAAGTAAATGGAACCGTGAGGGAGAGGATGGAGGGGTGTGCGACGTGTTTGACGTCAACCGCGGTCGGAGCGTGGCGTGCGGGCGCATGGCAGTTCCACCGCACGCCTCTGAGTGGCAACCGCTGACCACGGGATGGCAACCACCGTGCGGGCGAACTGACTCGCACACCGCACACGAGACTTGTCCTACGTGGCGCCGAAAACCGGCCTGTTTGCTACAAGATTCATGCGTACAGAAGCCAACGGAGATGCTTGCGTGTGGTCGGGATGATGAACGCCCACACGTGTGGGCGTTAACATTATCGTAAAAAAAAGCAGCTGGATTTTGGAATGACACTCGTAATGCTCGTAGAGAGCAGGAAGACATATTTGGTGCAGTGCTAGTCGATAAGAAGTCAAGGGGAGATATAGATATACAGAGTAGGCAGGGTGGCAAGACACGGTCTCCGGTCTGGAAGCACTTCGTGATATCCGAAACTGATGAAAACAATAGGCCTGTGAAAGCCAAATGTGTTCATTGTGACTTAGAGCTGAATTGTGGACCCAAACATGGGACACCAGGTTTGAAACACCATGTCCTATATATCTATTTATATCTATACCTACTATTAAAGCAAGGTGATATTGGATTCGACTCCAATCAATCGAGAAGTACACGGGGAGGCTAGCCGCCGCCTCCTCCTTCCTCCACAAAAAAGTTAGGGTTTCTGCCTCCCGCCGCCGCCGCCGCAGGTCCGCCTCCTCTCCGGTGGCCCAAGGGCCATGGGGGCGCTGTGGATCTCGGCAAGGGCCGGCGGGAGGGCTCCATTTTTAGTCGTTTCTTTCAGTTTTGCTAGGGTTTGTGTATTGCTCAGGAAGACGAGACGACGGCGGCTCCCTGAAGATGGAATAAAGGTCTCCCCGCCTAGTCCCCATTTCGGCGGTGCGTCTAGCACCGTTGGTGGGTGTGTGGAGGTGTGTCTCCGGCGGATCTATCTTTGGTGGATTTGCTCAGATCTCGTCGTTGTTCGTCTACGTTCGCGTGTCTTAGGATTGGATCTTTCTGATCTACGTTATTCTTCATCTGCGGCGGTTGCTGTTCTGGTGCGCTGGTCCTACGCGGACTTAGCACGACGACTTCCCGACTGTCTACTACAACAAGTTGTGCCCGACTCCGGCGATGGAGGGGCGATGACGGCGGCACGCCTTCGGCTCGCTTCAGTGCTGGTAGTCGTCGCTAGGTGGTCTATGGATCTGGATGTAATTTTTATTATTTCTGGTATTCGTTGTACTGCCATGATTGAAGATGAATAGATCAGAAATTTTCTCGCAAAAAAAGAAAAGAAAAGAAACGCAATCCGTAGTGCAGGTTGTACAAAAAAAAAGCAGCTGACCAGCCACTAATCCCTTCAAGGTACTGCACTTAATCACTGGATTTCCTTTTCTAACTTATTGTTTCTCCAGTTTTTCTTTATCGTTGATAATCCAGTCTCTTTTCGTCCAAACAAGACCGGTTTGGACCCAGCTATCAATTTCAAAAGCACGCACACAATTTTTTTTATTAGCCGACTATAGGGTTATGATAACATAGGAAAATATCAAGACTTAGTTAGCAAAAGAATGTTGATTCAGTTATCAAGCCAACAATCTTGATTCACTTCCAATTACAAATATAAATATAATTCCCCCACCCTAGCAACATTAATGTGCATGTGGAATCTTGTTCATTTCAGCATCTGTACAATTTGGACAATCCACAATTATTTTTATCTTCTCTTGCAGCAGCGCTGATGGTATAGAAAATGTTGAAACTGTTGCCATTGGTGATTCACACAGCAGAAAAAGGATTAGAATGGATGATGAGCCAACATGCGGGACCAAACCTAAAACACACCTTTGGAACAAGGCTGGATTTTTGCAAAGGATAGAAGAAATAACTCGCCGGTTACAAGACATATCGGGGTTTCTGAGTAAGGTTCTCAAGTTACATGGTTCAGATTTTGTCGCAAGCTCAAATCACTATCGAAGTATAACATCGGATCAACACCTAAGAACATCAAGTGTTGTTCCAAGGAAAGTCTATGGAAGAGTTACAGAGAAGGACTACATCATAAAGTTCATGACACAAGACAAACCCGATGGTTCATATGTTCTTCCTATTGTAGGCAGTGCAGGAGTTGGGAAGACTGCTCTTGCTCAGCTTGTATACAATGATCCAATCGTGGCAGAGCACTTTGACCAAAGGATATGGGTTTCGGTGTCTAACAACTTCGATGAACTAAGACTCTTTAGAGAGGTGTTAGATTTTGTCTCTCAGAAGCAAACACATGAAGGATTATACAGCTTTGCCAAGCTTCAGGAGGTCTTAAAGATGCATATCGCATCAAAGAGGGTTCTGCTTATTTTGGATGATGTTTGGGATGACTTTAACTTCCGCAGATGGAGCCAACTATTAGCTCCTTTGAAGTGTAACACAAAGGGTACAAAGATTCTTTTGACAACTCAAAAATTGTCTGTTGCACAAACTGTTGGTACAGTTGAACCAATTGAGTTACGTAGTTTAGCATATGACGATTTTTGGTTGTTATTTAAGTCATGTGCTTTTGGTGATGAGAACTATGAAAGGAATCAAAATCTTAGCAACATTGGATCGCAAATAGTAGAGGAGTTAAAGGGAAACCCATTAGCAGCAGCAACAGCAGGGGAACTATTACGAAGGAACCTTACTATTGATCACTGGAATAACATTCTGAAGAATGAAGATTGGAAACCTCTGCAACTCAATGGAGGTATAATGTCTGCTCTGAAGCTTAGCTTTGATCAGCTCCCCTACAGGTTACAACAATGCTTCTTATTTTGTGCTCTATTCCCTGAGACATATAAGTTCGCTGATGAGGAGCTAGTCCAAATTTGGATTTCGCAGGGATTTGTGAAGTGTGATAATTCAAGTAAGAGACTTGAGGAGAAAGGATTTGACTATCTGCCTGATCTTGTGAACTTGGGCTTCTTACAACAAGTTGAAAGAGAAGAGACGGATCAAACTTGCTACATTATGCATGATCTTATGCATGATCTTGCTAGGGTAGTCTCAAGAACTGAGTTTGCAACTATAGATGCCCTGCAGTACTGTGAGATGATGCCAACTATACGCCATTTATCAATAGTAAGTGATTCTGGATATAACGCAGATCAGCATGGAGACAAACCTCGCAATAACAAGTTTGAGAAGAAAATGCTCGCCGGATGTACATCGCTGAGGAAATTGAGGACATTGGTATTCCTTGGGCAGTATGACATGTTCTTCTTCAAATCCTTTCAAGATATATTATGAGATCATCAACTGCCTAATGCTCAGGGCCACAATGCGGTGCCCAATGATTTTCTTGAACTCAATGATCTTCAGCAGCCGCATGAATTGGATGAGATGGAATTTGAACAGTTGCAGGAAATGCTCAATCCTGTCATTCAGAATCAATTAATCCCAGGAGCTGAAGTGGTGACTACACCTTTTGATCTGAATCTTCCAATTGCTGACAGTGACAATGACTTAACTGTCACAATCAGTCTTGCTTCTAGCCACTCCTCAGAAGAGGCCGATGATAATGATGTTGTGCTACCACAGAATTTACTACCAGTCCCGATCCAGCAAGAGAACGACATGTTCATTCAGAATATTCAGCTTGGTATGGTGATTATCCAGGATCAGGTTAACTATGCTGCTCTTCCTACTCAATCGGTCCCATGTGTAACTGATCTGTCTGAGGTTCAGATCATTGAGAAAGAGGTCCCGTGGACGTCTCCACAAGATCATGTTGTTTCGCAAGATGAGTTGGTGGTCCCTTTTGCAGCACAGCAGGACAATTTCGTTTCTGACGAAGTTCAAGTTCAACCCGGGACAGACAACGACTTTTCACATCTAGCTTTGTCGATCTCGGTTTCCCAGGAGGGGGAAAGAGCATGGGAACAATTCTTTTGTCCCATGGATTCATCTCAGACATATGTTTCTGTCCCAGCCCAGTGGGTGGATTTCTTCACAGCAAAACTGTTATCACCAGCGGATTTTGATTGGGCCAGGTCCATCCTTCAGTCCAAGTTGTGGGAGATTTTTCAGCATGGTTGTTCGGCTGGTTCTCTTAGGCAATTTGTGCTTCCCACAACATGTCCAACCAGTACACCGCTGTTATGTTTTCTGCAGGCTGCTAGTCAGCAAGTTAGTAGAGGCTTCTCCACTCCTCAAGCCGCCAAGATTGCACCAGTTGTTCAGGTTGAGCTGCTCAGTACTTCTCTGGTTCACGCTCGCAAGAAGAATGCTAAAACACCTATGGTTATATCAGAGGTACGACGGAGTGACAGGCTCAAGCTTCTTCATAAAGGTTACAAGGGAAAAACATGCTTTGATAAAAACTGCTTGGCTTGTTCTGCTGTGGAGCCACCCCTTAACAAGAAAATTGTGAAAAACCTTTATGATAAGTTTGGTTTGGCTGAGGATCAGCCACTGCCAAAGAAAGCAAAGAAGGAAACTAAGAAGAATGTGGATGACCCCAAGAATGCCCAGCCCAAGAAGAAGTAACGAGTGGGCCTCTACCCTCCTGAAAAAGTTTCTTATGTTATTTTACTATTATAAGTACGCTGTCAGAAGTTTGCCTTTGAACATGATCATGTGGACCTGTTATGTTATCTCTATCCTTATGTGGACCAGTTTATATGTTCAGTACCTTGGTATTTGCAAGCCTGGTCCAATCCAGGCTATGATGTATGCTTATATTTTGCATCTTCCTGGTTGTTTTGGATTTGATCCTGTGCTGTCAACTTCTAGTGACACTTTTTCCCTATGGGATTGGGGCAGTGGTCAGTTAGAAATCGGTCCCTTCTTTTATCAAATCCAGTCAAATGAATAAACAACACTGGAAAGTATTAAACTGGAACATTAGAGGTCTTAACTCCCCGGACAAATGGCTGCATATACAGAATAAGATTTCTGAAAGTGGTTGTTCCATAATATGTTTTCAGGAAACTAAGAAGGAATCTATTGATATATCTTTTATCCGGAATTTTTGCCCCTCGCGATTTGATGCTTTTGCTTTCACACCTTCTATTGGTCGGTCTGGGGGCATTCTTACTGTTTGGAACTCTGCTCACTTCAAAGGGGAACTTTTATTTCAGAATAGCTATGCAGTTTCAGTGGGTTTGCAATCTACTAAATGTGGTAGTTGTTGGACTCTAACAAATGTTTATGCTCCATGCCAAGACGACAAGAAAACAGAATTCTTGGGCTGGTTAGAGGGCATTCACATCCCAGATGATGCGGATTGGCTTTTGGTGGGAGATTTCAATCTCATTAGGAGCCCTGATGATCGAAACAAACCTGGTGGTAAAATTTCTGACATGCTGCACTTTAATGCCGTTATTAGCGAACTGGGGTTGATCGAGATCCCATTGAAGGGGAGAAAATATACTTGGAGCAACATGCAGGATAGCCCACTACTAGAGAAGCTAGACTGGGTTTTCACATCTACTGCCTGGACCATCTCTTATCCTAATACTATGGCTTTTCCTATGGCAATGACAACCTCTGATCATGTACCATGCATTATTTCTATCCAGAATTCTATGCCCAGAATCAATGTGTTTCGGTTTGAAAATTGGTGGATGGATCATGATAGCTTCTTACCCTTGGTTGAGTCTGTCTGGAAGCAAAGTATTCACTATGCAGATGCAGCAAAGAGGATTAATGCAAAAATGAAAATCTTGAGAAAAAGTTTGAAAAACTGGGCCAAAACACTCTCCAATCTTAAAGAGGATATCTTATCACTCAATGCTCTGATTGCTATGCTGGATACTTTAGAGCAATCCAGAGATTTATACCCTTTTGAATCCTCTTTTAGATCGGCTCTCAAGCGTCACTTGGAGAAACTGCTCTCCCAGCAGAAGGAATATTGGCGGCAAAGAGGCAAGATTAAATGGGTAACCTTAGGCAGTGAAAATTCAGATTTTTTTCATGCTTTAGCCTCTGTTCAGCACAGACATAACTGCATCACTTCTCTTGTTGGTTCTGATGGTGTGGAGGTTTTTGGTCATGAGGCAAAGGCTAAAATACTCCATGCGGCTTTCAAAGAGAGGCTGGGACAATCCGATTCCTTTGATATTCCTGATGATCTGCTGAATCTTATACAGGCCCACAGTGACTTATCTTTCCTGGAAAACCCATTTACCAAAGATGAAATTGATGCTGTAATTACAGACTTCCCTTCTCACAAATCTCTGGGGCCGGATGGATTTAATACAGATTTTATCAAGAAGTGTTGGCCCATCATCAAGCAGGACTTTTATGACCTTTGTGATCAATTTCATAAAGGACATTTGTGTCTTCAAAGCATAAATAGTTCCTTCATCACCCTAATTCCGAAAAAAGTTGATGCATCGGGAGTCCACGACTTCCGACCAATATCACTCTTGAGTTGCACTATTAAACTCTTGACAAAACTGCTGGCTAATCGATTGCAGTCTATTATTTTGGATTTAGTTCATACTAATCAATATGGGTTCCTCAAATCAAGGACCATCCAAGACTGTATTGCCTGGGCATATGAGTTTCTGTTTCAATGCCATAAAAGTAAGAAACCAACTATTGTGCTAAAGTTGGACTTTGAGAAAGCCTTTGATAAGATGGAACATGGTATGATTCTAGCAATTCTTAAGAGAAAAGGTTTTGGAGACACTTGGTGCTCTTGGATCAAGCAGATTCTTGGCTCTGCCACATCATCTGTTCTCCTTAATGGCATTCCTGGAGTTCAATTCTTATGCAGACGAGGGGTGAGACAGGGGGACCCCCTCTCTCCTTAGCTCTTTGTTTTGGCGGCAGATTTCCTACAAACTATTCTCAATGATGCAATGCATAGAGACCTCATTCAGCCACCCATTCGGTTTCAAACATGTCCAGATTTTCCCATTCTTCAATATGCGGACGATACTTTGATTATTATGCCTGCTTGCCCCAATCAGCTGAAACATCTCAAACACCTTCTGGGCATTTTTTCTAGGGCCTCCGGTCTCAAGGTCAATTTCCAGAAATCCAACATGATTCCTATCAATGTGGCTGAGGAACAAATGCAATGTCTATCTGCTATCTTGGGTTGTGCAATTGGTAAGTTCCCGTTTACCTATTTGGGAACACCCCTTAGCTTTACTAAACCAAAACTGGAGCACTTCATGTATCTCATTGAGAGGATTCAGAAGAGGCTTTCCACATGCTCTCAGTATTTAAGTTATGACGGGAGACTACTTATGGTCAATGCAGTCTTTTCCTCATTGCCAACTTTTCTCATGGGCTGCTTGCTCCTCTATAAAGGTATCATTGAGCAAATTGATAAATATAGTAGGCATCTTTTTTGGAGAGGAAAAGACCTTGAAAAGAAAAACCCACCTTTAGCCGCATGGGATATGCTCTGTCGACCCAAGAATAAAGGTGGTTTGGGTATCTTAAATCTGTGGCTCCAAAACAAATGTTTACTAATGAAAATGGTGCATAAATTCATCAATCATGCAGACATTCCATGGGTCAATTTGGTTTGGGAAATATATTATCCAGAGGGACTCTCGCCAATTAATACTCAGACTTGCTCCTTCTGGTGGAGGGATTGTCTTAAGCTTCTACCCGATTACAAGAACCTTGCGGTCTGTTCCTTGCAGGATGGAAAAACTCTCTCCTTTTGGTCAGATATATGGGATGATCTACCCAAAAGGGAGTTATGGCCACACCTATTTTCCTTCTCACAGAATCAGAATATTTCTCTCCACAGGTTGGGCAATTTGGAAGATTTAGTTACACACTTTCATGTTCCTTTGTCAGAAGAAGCTTATGAGCAATTTCAACAATTGGAATTACTGTTGCACAATACTGGCCTAGTTTCAGAGCACGATATGTGGCAATTACCACAAGGAGCCCATGCTTACAGCGTCTCTAAGACATATAAGCTGCTAGTCACTTATCCAGAGCCCATTCCAGTCGTGAAATGGTTATGGAAAACCTGCTGTCAACTAAGGCACCAAATCTTCTACTGGCTTTTGATATTTAACAGATTAAATACGAGAGCTATGCTGCACCGGAAAAATTTCTTCATTGAGGATTACACCTGTGTTATGTGTAATCAACACTCCCTGGAAACAAGGGATCATCTCTTCTTCCAATGCCCATATGCCCAGCTCTGTTGGCAATATGTGTGCCCCTCATGGCAGCCCCAGAATACAAATATTCAGGAAGAAGTGGCGCATCTCAAGCATCTTATCAATTTGCCTTTTGCTCTGGAAATCATCATTCTGGTCTCCTGGGCAATATGGACAACGCGGAATGATTTCATTTTTAAAAAGATTCCCCCAAATCTATATACTTCCAGGCGCAAATACAAAGAAGAGATGAAATGGCTCACTCATAGAGCACAAAGACAGGATTATTCTGGCATGGCGGATTGGGTTGCAATGTTCAGATAACTTGCTGATCCAGATGGGTGTTTTTGCTGCTTGTTTTCCTTGTATGTATGTATGTATGTATGTATATTTGTTCTTTTTTACCTTTCCTAGGTTTTCTTTTTCGTTCTGATGTATAGTTTTTTTCTCTTACATGGACCTTTTGTATTCTTTTATTTAAAAATTAATAAAAATACGCAGCAGAGTCCTGCTGTTTCCCTAAAAAAAGATATATTACGAGAGGCACATAATTTGCGCCTGCTGCAAATTTCTGCAACATCTGATGGTTTAAATCCTTTACTGTGCAGTTTTGTGAATTTGAAACATCTTCGCTACTTAGACATCAAAGCTGCTGATGGGCTTGGGGCTTTGCCTCAAATTTTGAGCAAGTTTTGTCATCTTGAAGTATTACATGTTGGCTCATACACCAACCCTACTATGCCTGTCAGGATTGACCATGTTTTTAGGTTGCGACTGTTGGAATATAGAGTTGAGCTCAATCACAGATTGTATTCCTCCCAAACGGGGCAGTACATAATATAGGAGTACAGAGGGAGGAAGAGAGATACACACGCACGCACACGCTAACTAATCCTAACTACTGATCCTGCTTTCACGTAGTGGATTAGGCCGGTGCTGCATGGTGAGATGGGTCGGTACTGCATGGCGCATGCATAGGCGGCAGCGCACATGGCTCCTGAAGAGTAGCTCCAAGCTAGTGTGAACGTGTAGTCTAACAGCCCCCCGCAGTGTCAACGTGGGCTTGCCGAATGTTGAGACTGGACCGGAACTGACTGAATGTAGCAGTAGGCAACCCCTTTGTGAAGATGTCCGCATACTGAGAGGTTGTAGGAACATGAAGGACACGAACTTCGCCCAAGGAAACTTTGTCACGAACGAAATGGATATCTATCTCAATGTGTTTCGTCCGTCGATGCTGCACGGGGTTAGCGGACATATAGACGGCAGAAACATTGTCACAATAAACCACCGTAGACTTGGCGATGGGCTGATGAAGCTCCTGCAATAACTGACGCAGCCAAGCCGTCTCGGCAACGACATGGGCAACGGCCCGGTACTCCGCCTCAGCGCTAGACCTGGAAACAGTAAGTTGTCGCTTCGACGACCAAGATATCAAATTATCCCCAAGAAAAACGCAAAAGCCGGAGGTAGAGCGTCGCGTGTCGGGGCAACCGGCCCAGTCGGCGTCGGAATATGCTAGGAGTGTGGAAGGCGAAGACGGGTAAATGTGGAGTCCAAAGTCTAGGGTGACTTTGAGATAACGAAGGATTCGTTTGACAAGGTTGAAGTGAGAGGAACGTGGAGCATGCATGAAGAGACATGCTTGCTGAACGGCGTACGACAAGTCGGGGCGCGTGATAGTAATGTACTGCAGGGCACCGGTCAGGCTGCGATAGAGAGTGGGATTATCGAGTAGATCCCCATCAGAGATGGAGAGCTTGGCACCCGAGTCGATAGGAGTGCGAATAGGATGACAGTCGGACATACCGGCGCGCTCAATAATGTCCAAAGCATGCTGGCGCTGAGAGAGATGGAGGCCGGCGGGCGAGTGAGTGACAGTGATGCCAAGAAAGTGAGACAGAGTGCCTAGATCGGTCATGGAGAATTCACGACTAAGAAGGGCAATAATATAAGTGAGAAAAGAAGAGGACGAAGCGGTGAGAATAATATCGTCGACATAGAGAAGGAGATAGGCAGTGTGGGTTGTTGACTTGTAAATGAATAGCGAGGTATCACATTTAGAAGCAACAAATCCAATGAAGGTAGCATAGGCTGCGAAGCGAGTAAACCATGCGCGCGGGGCTTGTTTAAGGCCGTAAAGAGATTTGTTAAGAAGGCAGACATGGGATGGGGCGACGGGATCTTCGAAACCGAGCGGCTGCTGACAGTAAACGGTTTCCGTAAGATGCCCGTGAAGGAAGGCATTCTTAACGTCGAGCTGATGAATGGGCCACGAGTAGATGTAGCTAGAGAGAGAACGACCCGAATAGTGCTAGGTTTGATGACCGGCGAGAAGGTCTCGTCGTAGTCAATACCCTCGGTCTGAGAGAAACTGCGAACAACCCAACGTGCCTTGTAACGAGCGAGAGTGCCATCGGAGTTGTACTTGTGTCGGAAAACCCACTTCCCACTAATAACCGGAGCCGTGGAGGGTCGAGGGACAAGTGACCAAGTCTCATTTTGGAGGAGAGCTTGGTACTCGTCACTCATGGCACTGGCCCAACAGGGATAGGCAAGAGCAGCGCGATAGTTGCGGGGGAGGGGAGAGACACGCGAGAGATCAGCTAGGAAATTGAGCCGACGAGATGGCAGTTGGAAGCCCGACTTGGCACGAGTACGCATGTTATGAGGGTTAGCAGGGGGCGCGACAACAATGGCATGGCGCGGGAGAGGCCGAGGGGTGGTGGGGCTACCGGAGGAAATAGAGGCCGAGGTAGTAGAGGCCGAGCTACTGGAGGTGGTGTGTGGGGACGCCGGGGTGCAGGTTTGGGGGCGGGAGGTGGAAGAAGCAGGCGTGATGGCGGCGGGCTGGCCGGGCGAAACGACTGGTGTGCTAACGTGGCTGCCAGGCGAAACGGCCGGCAGGGCAGCAGTGTGGTCTGGCGAAGCGGCTGCTGGGCTAGTGTGGGTGCCGACCGGGGGTGTGAACATAGCTGGGCTGGTGAGCGGGGAAGCAGGCGTAAAGATGGGTGCATCGGCTGTAGGTGGATGCGAAATATCAAGCGCTGAGTTGGCCTCCGAAGTGCGAGAGAAAGGGAAGACGAATTCGTCGAAGGTGACGTGCCGCGAGGTGTAGACGCGTTGGGTGGAGAGGTCTAGGCATCGGTAACCTTTGTGATCCGGGGGATAACCAATGAAGACGCAAGGAAGAGAGCGAGCAGCAAGCTTATTCGGCGCAGTGGCCTCCGTGTTAGGGTAGCATAGGCATCCGAAGACGCGGAGGTGAGAGTAAGTGGGGGGGCCTGGTGGAGTGTTTCGTGTGGTGTGGCGAGGGAGAGGGTTTTAGTGGGACGGAGGTTGAGGAGCAAGGTGGCAGTAGCAAGAGCGTCGGCCCAATAGCGTGGCGGCATGGATGCTTGGAGCAAGAGTGTGCGCACGACGTCGTTAGTCGAACGAATGGCACGCTCAGCTTTTCCATTCTGAGAAGAAGTGTATGGACAAGAGAAACGCATCACCGTACCGAAGGGAAGGAGGAAATCCCTGTTTTGAGCACTATCAAACTCACATCCGTTGTCGCACTGAAGGGTCCGAATGGTTCGACCAAAATGCGTGCGAACGTAGGCATGAAAGTGACGAAAAATGGCAGGTACATCAGATTTTTGTTTGAGAGGGAAAGTTCATCGATAGCATGAAAAATCATCAATTATCAAGAGATGGTACTTGGCTCCGGAAACACTAGACAAAGGTGCTGTCCAAAGATCACAATGCAAGAGAACAAAAGCAGCAGTAGTGTGACTAGTCGAGGAAGTAAATGGTAGACGAACATGTTTTCCGGTTTGACAAACATGACATAAACGCCCATCCACTACAGGTTTATTACAATGTTCTAAGGATGTATTGGAACGAAAAGTAGCATCGCCGGGGTGACCCAAACGCCGGTGCCAGAGGTCGGTGAGGCGTGAGACGGTGACGGCGAGGGCCGCGGGTGCAGCTGGAGGGAAGACGTCGTACAACTCACCTTCACTGTTGCACCGAAGAATTGCCGCCTTGGTTGCAAAGTCCTTCACAGAAAGGCCATACGGGTCAAATTCCACGGAACAATTGTTGTCAGTGGTTAAGCGACGTACAGAAAGAAGATCTTTGACTAGATCAGGAGCAACCAGGACATTATTTAGATAGAGAGGCCGATTAGGGTTAGGAAGTGAAGCAGAACCGACATGGGTAATACGCATGGGACTACCGTTGCCAACAAAAACCGGGGGATAATGAGATACAGGGGCGACGGAGGACAACTTACCGGGATCGGTTACGAGGTGAGTGGAGGCGCCGGAGTCCGCAACCCAGCCGCCGCTAGGCGACTGCAGCGAGAGGTTGTGCAGGGCGCCCATCAGCGCCGCGTGATCAACTCCATGAGCATCGGAGCTGGCCGGTGGAGGGTTGTACTGTTGCTGCTGGGGAGGCACCGGCAAGTACGGCTGCTGGTGGAAGGCCGGCGGCTGGTGCAGCGGCATCGGAAAGGCCGGGTAGAAGGAGTACTGCTGCTGCTGCAGGGGGCCGCCGAAGGCGGCATGGGCCTGTGGCGGCCATGCGCCGAGGATGCCAGGCGCCGAGCGTGGTGGAGGAGGCAGGGCCATGGGGATAGGCATAGACCTGCCCCGTCCATGGCGGTGGTGAAGCGGCGGCGCCTTGATACCCGCCGTTGGTGGTGTAGCGGCGGCGTTTGTTGCGCCCCTGGTTGGGTGAGGGAGAAGACGGTTTGCCGCCGCCGAGACCGGGGGCGGGCGGCCGAGCCTGGCCGCCAGAGGCCACACCCGAGGGCGAGGGCGCTGTGATGGGTGGAGCCGGCGAAGTTGTTGCCGATCTCGTCGTGCAGAAGCATGCCAACGGCGACGTCAAAGGGGATGGGAGTTCGGGACTTCTCTATAATCTTGGCGGTAGTCTGATGACGATCCTTGTTGACGCCACGCAGAAGTTGGATGACCAACTCGTCATCGTCCAGTGTCTTGCCGGCGTCGCGCAGCGCGTCGGAGATGGACTTGAGGCGGGCGCAGAAGACGGAGATTGAGGAGTCCCCTTGACGAGTCTCGGAGAGCTCCGTCTGGAGCTGGAATCGCCGCGCCCGACGGTTGTTGACGAAGAGAGCCTCGACGGAGGCCCAGGTCTGGGCGGCGGTGGCCTCCCGGTCGAGCATGAAGGCTGCAAGCTCCGTCACCATCGCGCCGAGGAACCATCGCTTCACCGCCTTGTTGACGATGTTCCAGCATGCGCCGCCGGCGTGGTCGGCGAAGTCCGGCGCGATCCAAGAGGCGACGTCGTACTGATCGATGACGTCCAGCATCATCCCCCGCCAGACAGTGTAGTTGGCGCCGTGCATGGCGAGGCGGACGGGGAGATTGATGTGAGCGCCCTCGACACGCATGGCGTGCACATACGCAGGCGTTGGGTAGAAGTGGGGTGGCGGCGCCGTCTGGAGAGGAAGAGGAGCGGGAGTGACAAGCAGAGATGGGGTGTCGGGAGAGATGGTGGGGTTTGGCTGGGAAGAGGTAGCGGGAGGAGTGAGAGGAGATGAGGTAGCCGGAGAGGAGGCTGCGGCGGCCGCGGCGGCGTCGACCTCGGTGGCCATGGCGGAAGCGTAGATTAGATCAAACTGATACCATGTTGGAATATAGAGTTGAGCTCAATCACAGATTGTATTCCTCCCAAACGGGGCAGTACATAATATAGGAGTACAGAGGGAGGAAGAGAGATACACACGCACGCACACGCTAACTAATCCTAACTACTGATCCTGCTTTCACGTAGTGGATTAGGCCGGTGCTGCATGGTGAGATGGGTCGGTACTGCATGGCGCATGCATAGGCGGCAGCGCACATGGCTCCTGAAGAGTAGCTCCAAGCTGGTGTGAACGTGTAGTCTAACAGCGACATCTTGTTACAGAAGAGGGGGCATACTCTTCCATTGCTAACATTGGTAACCTGACATCTCTTCAGGAGCTACCCAATTTTGTTGTTCAGAATTCCAGCGGCTTTGAGATAACACAACTCCAGTCCATGAAAGAGCTTGTACGACTTGGGGTGTCTCAACTTAAAAATGTTAAAACTCGGGAGGAGGCTAATGGGGCAGGATTAAGAGAGAAACAACACTTGAAAGTGTTGCACTTGTCCTGGGGAGTTGCCTCGTCAGGTGATGAATATGGTAGGGACATGAGCTCCGGAACGGATCGGTTGTCAGTAGAGGTTATTGAGGGCCATGAACCACACAATAACCTAAAGCATCTGCGGATATCTGGGTACAATGGACATCTCTCCCCAAGTTGGCTTGCCAACAGTATCTCTTTGCAGACTCTTCATATAGAGGGTTGTGGCAAATTGGAAATACTTCCATCTTTTGAACAGCTTCCGTTCCTTAGAAAGTTGAAGTTGACGGAAATGCCAAGCATGACAGAAGTATCAATTCCTTCATTGGAGGAACTGGTACTAATTCAAATGCCAAAGTTGGAGCGGTTTTCCTGCATGTCCACTAGGGACTTGAACTCAAATTTAAGGGTTCTGAAGATCCAGAGATGTCCTGCAATGAAGATCTTTCCTCTATTTGAGAGCTCCCAGAAATTTAAAATCGAGCAGAAGTCATGGTTGCCCAGTCTGAGGGAACTCATTATCAACGGATGTCCTAATTTACATGTGCCACATCCCCTTCCTCCATCACCTACCATTTCCAAACTATCCATCGTCGACGTTCCAACACTCCCAAGGATAGGGGGATCATCTGCTGACACGTTAACAATTGGATCCAGAAGTGAGGGCTATGATAATTTTGATCCTTCTTCTGATGTGATGACTATACTGGATTGCAAAATGTTGGTATTCCACAACCTGAGGGGCCTCAGATACCTGCGTATAGATGGTTGCCACAATCTATTGTCTATTTCATTTACAGGATTAGGGGAGCTTGTTTCTTTAAAGAGTTTGGAAATATGTAGCTGTCGAAAACTTTTCTTGTCCCCGCAAAAAAAAAAAAAACTTTTCTTGTCAAATGTTATACCAGAGCATACCGGTGAAGATGTGACAGCTGCAAATTGCAATTCCCTCCCATCTCTGTCACTCTCAGAATTAAGTGTTGCGGAATAGCAGGAAAGTGGCTATCTCTGATGTTGAGATGTATGCAGGCACTAGCGGAGTTGTTTCTAGAGGACTGCCCAGGGATAACACAGTTAGCAATAGAAGAAGAAGAAGAAAACATTCAATCTTATAGTATCTCAGTTCCAGTGCATTCGTCGTCAGGAGGTCCAGGTGACAGACTGCTGACAAGCTCAGATCAAAATGGACTCTTGTGCCTTCCTCTAAATCTCATGTCCTCTCTCAAGAAGATATCGATTCGTGAACTCCCACACCAAGTATTTCGCAGGAAAAACGAAGGCTTGTCTAGATTTACCTGCCTTGAGAAGCTAACAGTTTGGGGATGCCCCAGGCTGCTCTCATCTTTGGTGGACAAACATGGAAATGATGAACAGAGGAACGGAAGATGGCTCCTGCCGAAATCACTTGAAGAACTCGAGATCCGTGGTGATTCACCGGCAATGATGCAGCCCTGTTTTCCAGGGAATCTAACCTGCCTCAGAAAATTACAAGTGTGGTTCAGCCCAAGTCTGAGATCTCTACAGCTGCGTAACTGCACGACACTGGAAGAGTTGGTAATTGGAAACTGTGGATCAGTTGCTGCACCAGAGAGCTTGCAGTTCCTTGGCAGCCTTAAGTATTTGAAAGTATTCAGATCCCCTGGCGTAATTCCATGTTTGGAGAATCTGTCAAGGCAGGGCTATGCTCTATTCCCTGGACTAGAAAGGCTTGTGGTCGATGGGCCCTCTGTATTTACCATGTCAGTTTGCAAGCAACTCACCTCCCTCCAATACCTACAACTTGAAAATTGGGAGTTTGTAACGAGACTAACAGAGGAGCAAGAGAGAGGGCTTCAGCTCCTGAAATCCCTGCAAGAGCTGGAATTCCGGGATTGCAGTTATGATCTCAAATATCTCCCCGTGGCGTTGCACTGCCTTCCTTCACTCAAGAGATTGAAGATCAGTGGTTGTTTGGGAATCTCAAGGCTGCCGGAACAGGGCCTTCCGCTCTCGCTGCAACAACTGGATATCAGCAATTGCAGCAAGGTTTTTAATGATCAGTGCAAGTCTCTAGAAACAGGGAAGTTAAAGGTCAACATTGTTGGAAATACACAAACTGCTTAATGATTGGCGTGTCAAGGACATATCCTACCAGTGCTTTCTAAGGTATTTTACCGTTTATCATTTTTCCTTCAGAGTTGGCACATCATCAGTGTCATGCTAATCTAATGCAAGCATATGGTGGCTGCAGGGATGGACCTGGACCGGCTTCAAGATGAGGGCACCCCTCTGGTTCCTGGATCACAAGTTTATGCTTGCAGACCGTAGCCTAAATCATACTTCCTCCGTCCCAAATTACTTGTAGCAGAACTCCATCCGTCCCGAATTACTTGTCACGGAATGCAACAAGTAATTCGGGATGGAGGGTATGTTTCTCTTTCTTCCTTCAGAAGAAGAATCTGGCATGTAAATTAATCAGTGTGTGCTTACATAAAGACCCTGTGAAATTAGTGTTTTTTTGCGGGTGCAATTAGTGATTTGTTGCATGGAATCAGTGCATTGCGAGAGGAGAGGTGACATGCACAGCATGGGGAGAATAACTAGCGAGACAACTCATGTAGTGCAGCCACGCAAAAGAAAAGAGCTAAAACCGTCCAAAAATAAGCTTACATCGGCTAAAAAAAACTACTCCTTCCGCCCAAAATAAGTGACTCAAGTTTGTACTAGCTTAGCTGAATGCGCGCCGCCGTCTCCCTCACCGGAGCCAAGTCAAACTTGTAGTAAACAGATAGGAACAGATCATGTACTGAAGCCACGCAAAAGCAGTGCAAAAGGGAACATGGATAAAGCTACCATGGTGGATGTGTCGAAGCGTACGTGTAGTGCAAAGGAAGGAAAGGAGGCAATGTATGTACTCCCTTCGTTCCTAAATAGTACTTCCTCCGGCCGGAAATAAGCACTTACATCGGCTAAAAAAGTTAGTACTTGCACGGAAAAAAGGAATAAGTTTCTATGGTGGATGTGTCGATCAAGTGACGGAGAGGCGTTACGTGCAAAGGAGAAGTGGCCATGTGCACGCGAGTCCAAGAATATCTCTGAATGCTTTTTCTTAGAACCTTGTGATCCGTGGACGATCTTGTGATGTCTATAAACACTGAAGCAAGCTGAATGCGCGCCGCCGTCTGCCTCGCCAGAGTCAAGTCAAACTTATAGTAAAGATAGGAACGTTGTTGTGTTAAAGACCCACAAGACCATCACACCGGAACAACAACCATTGTTGATTAAGAGCAGCGTAGATCGAAAGTATCCAACTTGAAGACATACGAATGTAGACGAACGGCGACTAGATCTGAGCAAATTCACCAAAGTCAGATCCGCCGGAGGCATACCTCCATACGCCCAGTGACGATGCTAGACGCACCATCGGGATGGAGGCCAGACAGAGAGAACCTTATCTATCTTTCAGGGAGCCGCCACCATCTCGCCTTCGTGAGCATAACACAAACCCTAACAGAACTAAAAGAAACATGTAGAAACAAAGCCCACCTGTCGGTGCAAAGGAAGGAAAAGAGGTAATGTATGTACTCCCTTCGTTCCTAAATATAATTTTTTTAAGATTTTAATATAGACTATATACGAAGTAAAATGAGTGAATCTACATTTAAAATATGTCTATATACATCTGTATGTAATCCGTATTGAAATTTCTAGAAAGACTTGCATTTAAAAACGGAGAGAGTATGTGCCAAACAAAATCCCGCCCAAGTGAAAACCAAAAGCGATCTGTGGTTCATGCACGCACGCGAGGCCAAATATGAATCTTTGGTGCTCGATCGCTCACTTTGTGCCACCCTTCCTTTATCAGAAAAAAAAAACAGCGATGGTATGTACAATCGTGTCGATCACACGGTAGCTTGTGCACATGAATTAATCACCTGACCGGAAAGAGATCGAGAAAGAGTCCTGCCTCTTGTGCTCTGCTCCCTGGAATAAGATGCATGCGCGTGGTCGGTGGCCGGCTGGGTGCGAATGAGGAGTGGACATCGTTTTCCTTTCTCCATCCCAACTTTCCAAGCTACGAGCATAAATCTTCTCTATCTTGCCAAACACATACATCTATTTACGGCACACCATAAACACATGTTGAATCACATATTGTAAGCTTTTATCAGCGCTTTTGCTATTTTACAGCTGACTGTTTTTCAATTCGTTTATGTTCAAGTTGTTGTCCATCCGTTCTTGGGAGGAGATTCGCGCTGGTTCTTGTTGTCGGGTTCGGTTTTTCTGTTTTGTGCAGTTTTTTTTGTGCCCGTTTCCGCCGCGCCCTGCCAGTCTGAGTTTTGTCTCGTTTGAATTTCGGGTTGTGTGCCTCCTCTTTCATTTTGTCCTCTCTGTTTCAATAAGGCTGAGGCGGAGCTCGAGCGGCGGAGCAGGAGGCGATTTCTCCCCGTCCATGGCGATTTGGTGACCTTCCCCTGCCGGAGCTTGATTCTTCTCCCCTTCCTCTTCGTTCCCCGGTTGTCGCGGTTGTTCCTCTCTCT